CCTTTTGGCCCCTCCCGCAAAAACCAACTGGAATCTGAGAAAGCCCCTCTCCTTTGCCGATTTGCTAAAAAAATCCTTGAAATCGCCTAAACGCCGTCGAGGCTTAGGAGAAACCATCTCTGGTTGGCCAGAATACCCTGTTGATGGCCGTTGACAGCCACCTGGATCTACAATTACAACATCGATGTGAGATGGTTTCTCTATGCACAATTGCCTGTAGAACAGCAAAACCAGCCCTAGATCTATCAATAGCGAGAAAAAGGAAACTTGAAGATTACTCTCCTCACTCTGAAACAGGGTCAAACCACCCCTTCTTTCTGCACAATTGCACACAGAAACGTGATCCAACCCTAGATCTATTCGAAACAAACTCATCTCCATCCTCGATTGCTTTGTTGTAGGGGGCAGGGTAGCGTTTGGCATATGTTGGAGGCCAAATTGGTTTGACTCAAGGACCAAGTAAACGTCTCCAAAAGTGCGATAATTCCAAGCCAATATACACAAATGAGCCATGGAAAGAAACGAGAAGAAAACAAGGGAAAAGCCCTGAAGAAACAGGGAGAGGCGCCTAGGCGAGAGTCTTGCACGCTGAGAGGAAACCCTAGCCGCGGCGAGAGAATATAAAACTATTTTTTTTATTTTCTTTGTACTGTATTTTTGCGGTTGAGCGCGTATAGGTATGCTTAAGGCTGCATGACCTTAGTAGTTCTAATTTTGAAAACCCCTGAAGAAGATTACCACAGTAGAAATGGCAGTTTCAATGATACACAATGGCAGTTCCATTGATGGCAAATTACGCTACTTGCTTATGGGTGGATGTCCTCTGATTTCAGTGCCAATGCCATTCCCGTAATTGCTCCTGCTTGTGCATTGTTTTCCTGAAAAAAAAAAAAAAAAAAAAACTCACCAGTTCCATTACAAATTAATTATCAAAAATATAAAAGGCCCTAATGCCAGGATTAAGAAACGACACATCATTTGTTATGGTATACACTGCTGAGTACATTAGTAGCTTTAAATCACTAAAATGAATCAAGGCTTAAAAGCAAAGATGTCTAGATGGTCCCCTTTAGTTGAGATTTTGTATGTCTAGATTTTAGTAGATTAAATTATGGGATAGATTTATTCAGCGGCATTTCGTGATCTCAGACTAAAGCTCTTTTAGATACTGCTAACCAAGTTTTTCACTCATTGGTTGTGTTAATTTCTGATTGCAGGCGATTGCTTGGATAGGTATTGATGTCAAACAGATCCATATCTATCAAGAAGCAAATACAGAAGCAGATATTTTTGTTAAATAAGGATCCCAGTCAATTATGGATTATGTTGTAATGAATGAGAGTTTCTATGAACTCCCTCCTTTGTTATTTGTTACTGCATTGGAACAGTTGTTCCAAAAACTGTTGTTGCGGGCTATTTAATTTGCTTAGTATACTCTCTCTTGTTGCCCAAAAAATAAAACATTTTGTGATCTCAGCATGCTAGTGTCTAGAATCAATTTTGATGTCACCGTAAGGACCTAAATATGAGATCCATGATGAAAAAGTAATAGATTTAGGAGGAGATCTCAAAATTGTCATATGCTTCATCATAGGGTTTCCTAAGAAATTAAAGGGAATTGTGCATAGAAGTAAAAATTAATTCTCTAATCCTAATTAACATTAGTTTCTCCATGATATATCAAATGCATTTTTGGAGGAACATGGATTTCAAGACAGGTTTAACATGTACTATCAAAAGAAAAATAAGTTCAGCATTATTTTAAAGCTCTTTCAACCTAATTAACCTAATTACTTTTGCAAAGTTTGGGATATACCTATAAATGAAAAGTGCCTAATAAATGAAATTAATTCAAACAAGTAGGTACATCAACAAATATATATCTTACATTAATTGTAAAAGTCAAAGAGACCAGCTCTAGTTAAACAAATGGGAGATTGGAATAATGATGTAGTGGGGCAGTGGAAGCTAGCCCTGGTGAAAATTTGCTGGAGGAGTTCTTGAGCTGGCCTGTTGGATGGAGTTCGGCTTACACAATGGAGAGCAGATTTCTGGACTTGGAAGCACACGCAATGAATATCAGCGTACAGTTAGTTACTTAAATGAAGTGAAAAAGTGCAAATCAGCCCTTCTAGCCTTTGATTGGTGGCAAATCAGCCCCTCAACTGAAAACAGTGGCTTTCAAACCTTTGGACTCTTCCAATGGTGGCAAAAAGGCCCCTATTTCATGGCATACTGTCTTACAGCTGTTAACTCATGCCGGAAAGCAGGTACTTGGTACTATTGCTGACCTGCCAATATTTTTTTTCTCGTTGGGACCCATTGTGTCGAGGTGGACATGATTTATTAAATTTATATGGAAAAACAACAAACAGTAAAATTATAAAATTAACCTTCCTAAGTCTTCAAATTTACAAAAATTACCCTCCCTCCCTGTACCAAGGTTTTTTCAGGTCTTCTTCTTCGGTCTCACCACTTATTCACAACGAAGACTCAAACCATGACCAAACAGAGAACACTTCCTCAATACAGAGAAAATATCATCAACTTGAAAGAAACCCGCATCTATAGACATTTTTACCATCTTCCTTCAATCATAACATGGCAGCCACTTGCCTTCAATATCAAAATTTCTTGATACTTTCATCTGTTTATGAGTTTAAACATTAAAAGGAAGGCTAGTTATAAAAGAGTGTGACTGAGTGGCTTCCTCTAAAGCATGAGTTTCTTCAAACAAAGTAATCAATACAAAATTCTGCAAACAAATCCTAAGATCTCAAAAACAAATACATAGAACATCAATCAAGTTAAATATAGAAATTTCATAAAGCATGTAAAAAAATTTTATTTGGCTAACCATATTGTTTGTGGTTATTAGTTCAAGTGCAGTTGAAATATAAGTGAATCTTTGGAATGGTTTGATTAAGCATTAAGTGCAGTTCAACTAATTTTGTTTCAATTATATTTATTTGTAGGTTCATAACAATGATTCATATGTAGCAAAAGATCAAGGGACAAGGTTTGACTGGATTAAATTTTCTTAATGAATTTAGAACACAAGAAAGTCCACTGGTAAAAGTTTTAAGTAGTTAAGTTTGGGTTTAAAATATTATAATTTACATTTTTTTTTAATTTCTACTAAAAATGAAAATTTTCTTCTATCTCAAGTGAATCCAAATTATAATGGAGCATTAACTTATTTTGATGTGAATTTGAATTATTAGGTTATTTCTTACACTAGTTTCCTTAGTTCATGCTACTTGACAACACTCTTAAGTTTCTTTTTTTTTTTTCCTTATATGCATTGCTGTAATTTTTTAAGATGAATCTTCTTCTTAACAATTGTTTCTGTTAGAGCAAAGGATTGCTACCATTGTTCAGGATGAAGCTTCTTAACAAATGTTTCTACTGAAGCAACTTTACCAATCACTTGAATGACCATTAATTGATGTTGGAGGTTAAACAATAATAGATTTGGGAAGAAAACTATCTATGCACTACTAAGAAACACTACTAGAAATTGAGAATATTCATGCCAAAATTAATAGGTCTAAATAATTTAGACCGATTAATTTTGGTCTGAAAAAATATTATTTCGGATTGTAATTAGTCTGAATATTTATTGATCAGGAATGAGTCGTAAGTGTATTGGGAAAATTTTATTTGAACCGGTAACGGTTTGAAAATTGTCAGCGCTAAAATAGTGAAAATGTGCAAAAAATTTTCAGACCAATAATGGTCTGAATAGTATTATTAAAAAAAATAAATTACCAAACAATTAAAGTGAGAACTGTTGCTAAGGTTTTTTTTTTCTTTTTTTTGGATATTTTTAGACTGACATCGGTTTGAAAAATTAGAAAATAATTAAAAAATAGATATTTAAATGCAAGATTTTTGCAAATATATGGACCGAAATCAATACGGAAAATTATAGCAGCAAACTACACTTTTCCAGACCAAATTCAGTTTGAATAATTTGCTGAGATGACGTTGGGAACCCTTTGCAGTTTTCTGGACTGTTAGTAATTGATCCGTAAAAATATCCTGCTGATTAAGTAAAATTGTAAAATAGATATTGTTTGTGTAAATATATTTGGTTGTTAAATTGTGAGTATGGTGTAAAATTTTATAGAATAGAAAAAAAAAATTGGAAAATTTTATTGTACTTATTTTTATATAAGTAATTTTTAATAAATTAATACTATAAAATATTTTGTTAGATAATTTTAATTGTTTGTATAGAATCATTTTATTATTTGATTGTAAATATTGTGTAAAATTGTATAGTATATAAAATGTATAGAAATTAGTTTTGTATTTATGTTTTAAGTAATTAATTTATAATAAATTAATAATATTAACTATAATGTTAGATAATTTTAATTGTTTGTATAGAATCATT